CTGTAGTCTATCGTGAGTCATCAAGCCACTTAGAGAAAGAATCAATAACTACAAGTGCATAATGTTGTCAAGAAAAATACCAAACAGTTCTCATGAATTCTCTGCCAGGCCCTAGACGATAGTGGCCATGGAGTTTACTTCGAATACTGACTATTCAATATATGGTATCCTCCACATTTTTTTTCTGTACGACACATACCTGCATCTATATCCGGCCACCAAAATGTGAGCCTAGCCAAGGGATTCATTTTTTGAACACCTAAATGTCCACTATGAAAATCTTCAAGGACAGATTTACGTAATAAAGGAAGAATAACAAAACGATCATTTAAACACAAATTATCATCAAGAGTAGTAGATAATTCATTCAGCTTTGAAAAAATAGATAGGGAATCTACGTTTTAGATTAGCATTTCAACCCCTTTGTATGGCACTGAGTATATGCTAAAGTATCTACGAGTTTATTTAATGAGATCTGGACGTCTCACCGGTAAAGATTGCACTAACAAACAGCCTGAAGTATTAACAGGTCTATCTTGTAGTGACTGTCAAAGTATGCAGTCAACATGTTGAATATGTTTGGCACTTCTGTGCTGAATCGCATATTTATAGTCACTCAAATTAATACACCATCGTTGAACCATACGGCTGTGGGACGTGCTAGGAGGTTAACAGGATGATAAATGAACTTTAAAGCTCCATGATCAGTAACAACAAAGAATGTCTTTCAAAATAACTATTTTTCAAGTATATTAACAATCCGAAACACACTAATGTTTCGTTTGTCAGTGGGGCTTGTCGCTGGTATCTGGTATAAATTCTTCACCGTCAACCAGGTATCCTGGAAATTCAAACTATATACAAAAAATTGAGAACTTATTTGGATTTGTAGTAGCATTACTTCCTAACCACGCGATCTTTGAAGAAGAGCATATAATTAATGCAAAGATTTATATTCAACATGTAACACAAAAGAAATGTCAACAAAGGTAAGCGCGTGAACATTCACTCAATAGGATGATATTGCTCAGCCTTACAGGCGCGAACATTCTTGTGTAACTTATCGCTTTTGTTCATATTGAATATATTGTTCAATTTTCAGCCTAAATGAGTTCTTTATCAACACGATAATTTATAAGATCATTTTAACAAGTGTCAACACTTTGGGATCACTAATTGCTTTATTCGTCATTTCTTAAAATATGGCTGATGAACCAACCGGGAGGTAGTCGTATTTGGATAGGCCATAAGGAGTGTTAACTGTTGCCAAAACAGATAATGATTGAGCCGAGGGAATTTGGACACAAACATCTTTTTAAGTCAGCAATAGAGTTTACCTAAGGATTGTGAAGCCGATCAAGTGTATATACGTCTTCCACTATCGTTCGTGTTTCCTTCGATACACGGGGGTTTGGTGTTGATCTGTGATCACCGCATATCCCAGGGGTTCCCTAGTGGCAAGCCCTATGTCAACCCCACATAGGTTACTCTAGCCTTTGAACAAACAAATTTATCCAATCTTTCAAAACAAATCTTGACCTTGTCACTTATTCGCTTATCAACCTTGAATGTTTTTATTCAACGTATGTGTTAGCATTCTAGATTATAAATATCGGTTTACGCCTGGTTGAGTTGGTTCACTCGCCTACTTCATTGCGCATCATTTTGTTTTGCTTCATTTTCCGACCAATGATTGTACGTATTCAGAAATCCATTATCGTATTTGACTTATTTAATTCCGTTATTCACTAACACGAGTTAAGCCGATGATGATATACGAGGATTGGCGGCATGTACATTTCAATAACAATCATTCATACTATCCAAATGGAGTCAGATTTAGGTTCACCAAGAGTCTTATCATCGAACTTGAACGGCGTAACGATAGGAGTATCCCACTTTGAAGACTGCGTCAATTCAATAATACTTTTGCGCACAAATCAACCAATGCTTTATTTACTGCTTCTCAAAGACTGTAATGAATTATGCATCTCTTGAGAAAAAACAGATCACCCTGTGCTTGAAATTCCATACGCCGGCTTCTCATCCCCGTACTGCACTTAGCACGCACATGTATTGTAGCGTGGTGTCGAGTGGAGATTGACTATGAACATCGCTACCAAGAAACGCGTACCAAATGACTCCATAAAATCCCTGAGAAGCCAAATATCAGAAGGCAGTTAATGGACCAAGTCGAGATATATTTGCTGGCGATCTCATGGTATCGAAAGGATACCGAAATCGTGCCAGCATAGAAGCTTGGTTACAGAACGCAACCGAAACCTCGCGAGTCCAATATCAAATTGGAAGAATAATGGATGATTTAAGCACAGTTAAACAAAAGTACATTAAAACAGTCACTAGTAAAAATGGCTATAATAATAAGTACTTTCAATAAACCAATCGTGTTCTCGTGATAAAAGTGAGTCACTACACTATCAAGCTTTTGCATAGTACATCATAATCTCTTTTAAAATCTTAGAATGACAACTCTACTTTAAGCATTTTCAAACCGCGTATCAACGGTCCAGTTTTAATAATCAAAAGCTTACAAGGGATATATGAAGAACTATAATCTTTTATTAACAATTATTAATATCCTCGTATAGGAAGCTTGTATCCGGTAATCCCCAATATTAGGACTTCACTGAGTCAAACTACAACGTTAGAGCTTAAAGATTTGGAGCTCTTGTAAAATCATGGAATGAACCGAGAGAGTTATATAATCTTTTTCGAATATGGAAAATACTTTTAGAAATCGTGGATAAACATAAATGATTATTGGGAACACTTAACTTGATAAAATACGAACTAGAAAGTTTGTTATCACTAGTGGTGAAACGAACAGTATTTTTACAAATAGACTTGATGTATCCAGTTTTACTACACTTGAATTATTTAACAAAGAAATGCACATGATTTACACGAGTGAAGTTCACCACATGACAAGTAAGCTGTAGGTATAATTTCCGAAAGGAATCTGTAGGCAGATAGGACACACTTTTCAAAAATCATCGAATCGGATCACAAAGCAAGCTCTGACGTGGAATCACCATGAAACAAAATAGGGGAAAACCAACGAAAATATAGTGCCGGGAATCGGAGACAGATACCAGGAGGATGAACTTCACTTGAAAGGAACGCCCAGGACAGAGTTGGCTAGATATTTCTGGTCAGCAGTCAATGTCACACGAGAAGTAGCAAGCATAAGTAACCAAAACACTTAGATAACATGAAGAATAAAGTATATGTTCAAATGTAACAGAGTACGTGAACCCTAATTTGTAAACCTGTCGTGCCAGCGCTTTACTCCACATCCGTAAAAGTACCTATCTTTAAATTTCATATACTACCCAGATCATTTGTTTGAAGCATATTATACGTATATTTCATATCAGCAACTGCATATTGCGCCTACTTTCAAAACATAGACAAATTTATTTAAGATCGTAAATCTATCTATACATATCTGCCATAACTGATTATATTAGCCATTTAAGTCGTGTAGTACGTAGTTTGTTCTTCTTTGAAAACTATACAACCAGTTTAACGACATTTTTAATGAGCTACTCAACAACTTCATTACTTTATGAGTGGTTTCATTTCCATATGCTTGCAGGGCCACATTCATGTACATAACGGTGGATTAGCTACTGTGGTGGTCAGTATTCAATATAATTCTTAAACTTCATATACAGTTTGTCTTGATAACCGTCACAAGATAACGCCCCAACGATATATTAATCAGAAGGCGAATACGAAGTGTTGATTACGTTTATTATGAGACCACACACACAGATATCCAATATTACAGGTGCGTTAAACAAGCATGAAAGAGTTGTGCCGAAAGGCAAGCAGGCAAGCGAGCGAGTGAGTCAGCGAATATGAGTACGAATAAGCGAGTACACTTAAGCGAGAGAGAGCAATTAACATGGGCATATATATACATAGTGAAATGAATGAATCGTCGAATCAATTAAGCCGTTAGTAGTAAGGCTAGCAGCATGAATAAATGCGTGGGCAGTAAGCAATGCTCAAGCATACATTCGCAACAATAATAAAGATACAATCATATAAATAAGTTGTTGTTGTACGGATGACTCAGTTCGTTAATAAGTTAACAAAATGGCTTAACCAAATTAAATGTGAACCAACTCTATTGAGCGTGAGTTGCTACACTACCATTGATTCATTTCTTATTCACAACAGTTCATTTGTTTTAGTCGAATAATATTTTAAACAATATGTATTAAATATTTTGCCTAAAATGATTATAAATGGATTGTCTGATATTTATCCATAGAAAGTTTGGTTTTCAGACATTACAGAAAAACAAGTGTTTTGAACCAATGCTTTTGTGTAAATCAACACTAATTTCCATTCTTCGAATCAATGAAAGATGTTCACTTCAGCAGAAGTCTATACAAATAATTGTAGAAAATAACATCATTGTACTAGTCTGATACTTGACTGTGTTAATGCAATCTCTTTGAAGTTATTGAAGTACTCTTTTACTTACATTTCATGTCTTTTATCAAGCCGGCTACTTGTCACCGGGACTTAGAATCATCACTGTCCGTTATAAGAATAAAATAGTTTTGAAAAACGGATTAATTTCAAAATTTTTAGTCTTACATTAACTTTACAAACTTAAGACCTCACTACACAAAGCACCTCTCCAATAAGCTGACTTTAGACCTTTGAAAATACCTACTAGTAATAGATCAACCTGTACGAAGGGTCCGAACACCAGATCCACAAAGTAAAGGTTGATATTTCGTTATCATAATTAGCCAACAGATTGTTTCATCACAAACAAATATTTTGATAAATAAGTTTAATATCTAATTGCTTTCTAGTTCAATCAAGTTAAAAAGTATCTATCATGACATATGGTACACATCAAATGTCCGGAATATAATAAACCTCAGAAAGCTCTATTTAAAATAAAAAGTATTTATTTAGAAGAAATATTATATATACATATATATGAACATCCTGAAGAATATAAAACTGCACATTAATAAAATTTATAACAAATCGTAAGAGTAATAAAAACAACAAATATTACAGGGAATATTACAAATACACTCGGTTACATTTAAAGTATCCAAAAACATAATCAGCAAAAGCAAGGATACCAGTGAGAACAATATAACAGAAAAACCATGAACAAAGCATTAATGTCAACAGAAATGAACCAATTTGATGAAAACAAAGTAGATTAGAAAATAGCATAGGAAGACCAGTTATTGCACTAGTCCAAGCTGATCCACTAATAGCCGGACCTAAGGAATTAAGTACAGTGAGTAAATTATTACGAGAACAAATAGACTGTTGACAACGCCAACTACCTGTATTGCATTTATCAGATACAGCATAAGCTAAGTGTATACAAGGATCAATAGCAAGACCAGCGGCTAAACTAATCACTAAACCTTCAATTATACCTAATTTCCAATTATCTATACATGTTAATAAAGTGATAGATGATAACAGGCAACAAGTTAAGCATATAAGTGATAATAAAGAAAGTAATATATTTTTACTAATAAGAAATATTAATAAACTAGCAATAATTACAGCAATTATTATACTATGATATACATACTGTGTAATGTTTAATGTAATTTCAAATTTTTCCAATTCATTTACAACTAGAAAACCATGATTTAACAAATTAGGTGCAGTTGATAATAAATTATTAAACCATATAGTTATTTTATTCATAAAATTTTCTATATCATAATGTGAAGATGAAATTAAAGAGATATTAGTTAATGCATTAACAATAAATCCTACCGGTTCATTTATACCAGATTTATGCATAAATCGAAATCCAGTAATATATCCTTGTTGATTTTCATATGATATATATTCATTTAAACAAGATAAAAATAATATAACAGAAGAATTATAAATTTCTAAAGGTTTTCCATTTAAACAACAAGTACTAATATCTATTGAACAATTTAATGAATATATATAATTATCTATAGAATTTATATAACGACCAAATGGACACCAAACAGGTATATTTATGAAAGGATTTAATAATGATAATTGTAATGAATTTAATGTTTGTTGATGATATTTTATAGAAGAAGATTGAAATAAAAATGGCATACGTTTTAATTCATTACAAAATTTTAATAACCATAAACGTGAATTAATTGAAGTCAAATTAATCATAGAAGATGAATAAAGTAATAATTTTGAATGAATAAATATATCATGATTATAATTATATAAATTTCTTTCATCATATGGTTTAGGACCCCAAATAAAATGAATTTTTAATAAATTTTGATAATAATGTAAATTATATTCAGTCCAAAATGAATTATTTACATGTTTATATGTAAATTGTTCTAATGGATGATTTAAACGTAGAAATGTAGAACTATAATGATCATTATATGGTATATTAAATTTATGTAACCATAATAATTGATAACTTGTAAATAATAATGTAATAATAATAATAAATGGAAAAATAAAATGTAATTTAATTATTAATTTATTAAACAATAAAATGATATTATAAACTTTATTAGAAATAGATTGATAATATTTATAAAATAATAAAATAATAAAATGTTTACATTTAGATAAATAATTAAATTCAAATATAATTATCATTGGTATAATCATAATAAATATAAATAAATAATTAAATAAAATAACTAAACTAGCAAATATAGTAAAACGTTTTATTGCAATAATTGAAGAGAATAAATTAATTAATAAACCACATATAGTTGAAATTGTAGTTAATGTCATTGATGGAATAGCATGTAATAATGTAAAATGTAAACATTCAATAATTTGTTGTTCATTAATAATAAATTGATTATTTTGTAAATGATTCATTGAAATGGAATGAATTTTATCATCATTATTAAAATATTGATTTGATATAATATTTATTTTTTTATTTAATGAAGATGAAGCATTTTGTAAATTATTCTGATTAATTGATATTAATTCATTTGCTTTAAAATTAGGCATTACATTGAAATTATTATCATGATGATCAATATGTTCAATGATAGTTGTTTGGGCCAATATAAAACGTTTCTGTTTCCAAATCTTTACAAGAAAAATAATATCAATTAATTATCAAATTATTTTTTTTTATATTTTGACAAAATAATGAATAATTCAATAGTATTTTGTTTTATTAATTTATTACAGTGAATATTGAATTATTTCTTATAAACAAATAAAAATAGCTAAAGTATAATAATGAAACAAATCAACTTCAATAGAGTATCATTTTAGAAAATTAATAAGATTTAGTAGGATCATTCTTTAAATTTCAAATAAAATATTTCAGGAAAATTATAAACCGAATCAAAATGATAAAATGTAACTAATTGATATTTGATAAAATAAACTAAAATAGTTTAAATATCAGATATATATGATAATAATACCATCAATGTTATATCCGAACGAAGAATAAATGAACGGTAACTGCCAGGAACTATTCATAGACTGCTATTATATATATATATATATATATATATATATATATATATATATATATATATATATATATATATATATATATATATATATATATATATATATTGCATAACTCTTACGTAACTAGATTATATATATTTATGTCACTTTTATCATAAGCTTTTATTTGACCTAATGACTATTATCATAAGACTTACTATTCTCAAGTTATTCTCAGTTTATTAGTTACGGTTTCTCACAATCACAGCAACTTTTCGGTTTGATCTTGTATAATAGTTACTTTTTATTGTATGGTATGATGTGGTTTGGTTTACTTGTATGTAAATCAAGTATATTTGAAATATATGATTTATACGGTGAAAGCGGATATTGGTGTTCTAGATTTAACAGGTAGGGCTAGACGAGAACCAATAAGGACTGTACACTTCTCGTACTGGTTTGTGCGTTATTGATCTAGTCATATAAGTCGGTGTTCTGGTTGGCGATAATATCACGTGATAATTCATGGGGCAAACTCATAACAACCAGTCAAAACATATTTCCGATAAGTCACAGAGAAGGTATCCTTTTCAGAAAGTTTATTTTCAAAATAAATAAAATCGTGTGTACATATGTATATGCATCAAATAGTAACGTCTATAAGCAAATTACACATTTAATTGAAGGATTTTTATCAACAGTGGTTTGATTCCCAGGTACCACTGAAATCCAGGAGGTATTGGTCGGCTGTTTCATCTTAGTATGGAACACCTCAGCAATATGCACCCAGTAGTTCTAATGCTTAAAGTTGACTGAGACACCTCAAGCTCCTGGTCCCAACCTCTGGCAGAGCTATGGACGATCACTCCAAAGGATTTCCTCACTAGAACCCAAGAGCTACTCAGTTCCCCCACATTTTTAATGATATCCTCAACTGAGATCTATCTGTGATGAATAAAACCTACGAACAGTATACTTGTCAAAATATTGATGTAGTTAGGTATGATTATAAATAGACTACATTGTTTTAAGTAAATAGTTATGGAAAAGTGAAACGTAAGAAACATATAATCATCAAGATAAACAGGGTAAACATGTCACTAACCAAAAAGATTTCCCAGAAGAAATCTTTTGTAATCATAATAAATAAAAAAAACCCTAATTTACCATATATATTCCAAGAAAAACCCAGAAAGACACAACCAAACAAACTTTTAGTTATATATAAAAATAGGTACCTTGTCGAAGACGTACATTAATTAGGCATCTCAATTTCGAAATTAATACAATAGAAGTTGATTTGTTACTACAGAGAATTATAAAGTACTGTATATGTATAGTGTCTCAAAACAAAAGTGAAACGTATCTAATTTTCAATAGTTCTACAGTTGATCCCAACCGGTAATGAATAGTTTCAAGAAATTTCTTACATCTTATTGACTGAAATTTGGAAAATAATCAAACTGACTGACTAAAAAATGAATCCAAATGACGGAAAGATTGCTTACCTGATAAAACACTAATAGATCATCCGCACCAAGTCCAGTTACCAAAACAATAGCTAATAAGTTAATAACTGGGAAATGTGGAATTTTTAATACTATTGTATATACCGTATAGGCAGTTAATAAAGACCAGATAATAGCCAATACAGTTAGAATTGGTATGGAGATCGTTCGAGTCCATATAGTCAATAAGATTAGTAAACATATTAAACTAATAAATAGCCAAGAAGTATCACGATAGAGCAACTGAGTAACAATTTCATCATATTCTTGTATATATATTCCCTGCAAAATATGAATTAAAAAGAACAGATATTCACATTAAAGTATTCTGGATTCAATTGAGTAACTTTAACTTAGAAACAGAGGGGATAAAGAAAAACACTCATACAAATGTGTTCATTTTCATAAGAAAACCATTATGAAATATGGAAAAGTCGAACTATATGTCTATAATATATGCAGAACTAATATTTATGGAGACATATCAAAATTTACTCTTATTGTGACGTTGATACATGCCACATCTAATAATCTTAATATTATAGACATATAGGTAAACAGTTAAAATTCATAACAATCATTTATATTACGGGTAACAAGCTTCTGATAATAACGAAGGACACAGTTCGATGATTTCTTTGTTTACTAATAATTCATTTTAGTTTGATCAAAATGTTAAAAATTATAGACAAAAATATTCAAGGAAATGGACAGACCTTATTAATTAGTTATGATCGTCTATTTTTCAACAAAGAGAATGTATTACAGAGGCGAAAGGTTTATCAGGTGAACAAACATATTTTCATGACTATTTAACAAATTAATGTGTTTTAACGGCAAATTATGAAAATCTGTATTATAATATGACAATTTAATAGCTCATCAAACAAATAATCACCTTACATGATTCTGACTGATTAAAATTGAGATAATAAGAATAAGAACCAAGTACATATTGACTAATGGAAGAATATATGTAGTAGTCGACTACTGATAACTGAGATCTGAAAATTAACTGTTTGAATCTTCTATCAACATAAACTATCTTTTAGTCCCACACAGTAAATGGGCATTTTCAATTACCAAAATGTTGTTTATTATTTACAGAGTAAATCTCATAAGAATGTGAAACCATTTATTGATAGATACAAAAATCTAGCACAAGCTAATCATTTAGTTCGTAATATCATCACAACTCTTAGAAAAAATTTCAAAAATTAAAACGTTCATTAAAAGAATTTACATTTAATAATAAATTTATGAAAGTTGAATAGTCTTACAAAACACCAAATATAGAAAAACCTATCTGTGAAGCTTCTAATCGAGTGATATATACGCATTACGCTCTAGAAAAGATATATTCAAATTCATTACTTTGTATTAAAATTACATAAACAGAATTCGCTGACTAGACTTTTTTGTTATATTTCTGCATAATAAACACACACGCTTACTAATTACACATTAAAAACCATAGATTTAAATAGTTTCATTATATTAAATGAAAGTAAGTAGTGAAATAAAGAATAGTTAAAATTTATTTGACATATAGCCTAAACATCATTATTAGAAACTTTATTCATATTTTCTTATACTATCAATATAACTTACATCAAAATGAAATGGGATATGTAATCCTTCTGTAAGTCTACCCGATTTATACTCATTTTCTATTTCATTAAAAAACAAATGCGAACCAGTAGAGTGTACAGGCAAAACCATTAAGCTTTTTTCCCAATTATTAAAACTGTTACCATCATTTGGTAAGAGAACAGCCAAAATTATCGGCAATAAAGGTGAATATAAACATTGTGATGGATATACCAAAGGACATAGTAAACTAGGATCAGTACCATAATTATCCCAACATGAACGACGTAAATGACCAGAAAGAAAAGCTGGATAACAAGTAGAAATCAACTCAGCAGTTTGTTTAGCATCAATATATTCCAGCTAATCAATGAGTGGAAGAAAAGACAAATTGGAAAAGAATGTAAACATATGAAGCTAAAATTCAGTAGTATGAACCACTTTTTCAACTTAGAAAATTAAGCTAAATAATGTAAAGTTAAACAATTTGCATAAGGAACACTTACTAAATTATAACTTAGTAAAACAATATATCAATTTCAGTCAACACATTTACAAGTGACACAGTTAAAATTACCAAAAAGTACGAAATGTTAAAATGAATTAGAAAGTTATAAAAATAAACAGAATCCAGCGAAGAAAATTCCCTTATTTTGACAAAATCATTTGCTTAAACTATGAATTCGTATTTATAGATATTTGATAAATATATGTGTCTGCAGAACAAAATGATTCCAGATTTAAAATATTAAAACAAGGTTGCATACTCACCAAGAATTTAGAAAATAGAAGAGATTCAAATAAATTACAAATAAGAAATATGACAGAAAATTATCTACCGAACAAATATAAAACAGAGATTAAAAACGTGAAGATCATAAAAACGAGGTTCTGGGCTGCGAGAAGTATCACCATTAGGAATGAACCTCTCTCGGAACCCTGCACAAGATTCAAGAAAAGAAGAACAAGAAAACAGCAATTAACAACAGTCGAACAAGAACATAGAAAGTCAAAGCACAAGCTGAAGACACTGAAACTAACAAGCACGTGAAGTGGAGCATTAAAACTGACAGGCAGAAATACATGGAAGACCTAGCAGTGGTAGCATGAAAAACTGTAACAGAAGGAAATATGAAACAAATATATGGCACAACGAAGAAACTAACAAGGAAATATTACAAACCGAAGAGACCGGTTAAACACAAAAAACGAAAGCCAATCGCTTAGATTCAAGAGCAGAGGAACAGATGGGTGGAACATTTTGAGGAAGCCCTGAATATACTAGCTCCACTGAACCCACCAAATATCGAAGCAGCACCTACAGACCATCCTACAGATGTCACTCCACCAACAATCTAGGAAATCAGGGTGGTCATCAGACAAATGAAAAGTAGGAAAGCAGCAGGATCGGACAATATACCAGCTGAAGCACTGAGGACAGATATAGAAGCAACTGCAAACGTGCTCCACGTTATATTCAGGAATATTTGAGAGGAAGAACAAATGCCGACAGACTGGAATGCGGGATATCTCATCAAGATACCAAAGAAACAAGATCTGAACAAATGTGAGAACTATGGAGGCATCCGTCTAGAGAATAAATTAAGAAAAGACGTTAGAAGTGGATAGGATACACACTAAAGAAATCATCAAAATGCATCACAAAGCAAGCGCTAACTTGTAATCCTGAAGAGAAAGGGAAAAGAGGAAGAACAAATAGCACACTGCGTCGAGAATCGGAAGCAAACATGAAAAGGATGAATAGCGACTGGAAAGAACAGGAAGAAATTGCCCAGAACAGAGTTCGATGGAGAATGTCGGTGGTTAGCGTATGCCTCTCCACGGGGGTAATTTGTTACGCTATAGCTAACTAGAAATGTTGCACAAACAGTAATTTGATGAAAATAATTTCAAGTATAAAAAGTCTCAATACACGCGACTGGTCGCAACTATTCAACCGTGTTCACTTTAAGCAAATATATTCAGTTAGAATGTTTCTTATTTCTACACTTACTACTTTCCATATAACGTTTATTTATGTATTGAAAGAGAATCAATTGGTGAAATTTTATACTGAGTTTATCAATGGAAGTGCCAATATCGTATTGAAAAAAACTTGCAAAGTTTTCCACTAAAGAACAGAATTATGTTAAACATTCGGCATTTAATCAATGCGATGTCTGTCCAAACTTCACTCATAAGAAAGCAGCTGTTAAGAGTATCCAAAATATTCCAGACATTACGATTAGGTAAATAACTGAGAAAAGATTATTTGAACTGCATCGAAAACTCACCTGTTTACATGACTGTTTATTGAAAATTGATGCAATCATGTTTGGCAAACACCAAATTGAACAGCAGTTATTATGCTCAGTTCTGTCAAGTGTAATTTTATTATTTACAGTAAATAAATGTGTATTATTGTGCAACTTAGATGATTTCCTATAACATAATTTTTGATATGTAGATAAGTGAGTAATTCTCAACTGTAATTTACACAGATCAGATAAAATAATATACAATAATGATGGTTCACTAAAATATGTCAAATTCTTCTTTGAATTGATTAAGGTTTGCATGAATAAAGATTTATGAGGTATTTTGACAATTTGATCGTAATTTATAGAGAAAACTATTCGACTATATTTAGCATATATAGTCCATAAACTGTTAACTGGTCTGGTCATTTCACTAGCTATAAAAAATAAAAACAAATGAAGTTATGAAGCAAGCAGTCAAAACAAAATATTGGTATTATTAGTTGATTCTTTGACTAATGTAGTAGAATGACCTGATATTTCACATGATTTAAATTCTTCAAAAAAAGCAAATTTAGCTGGCTGACAGACAGTTTAAACCTAATAATCTCACAATTTAGAGGTAAAATCAAAATGAAAAACTAAATTTCGGTACGCAGAACATGTAAAGAAAAACAATATGATATTAAGATTGGCAGAAAATTCAATAATAAATCAATACTGAAAGCAAAGTGTTTTGAAATGATGATCCAATTTATCAACATCAACCTGAATATCACTGGTGATATTGGGATGTAGAATGATCACATTAAGTATCAGATGTGTGGTAATAAACACTGATATCCAGAAATATTTGTGAGATATATCTGCATCTCTAGGCTTTTGGGCGAATAATTGACTCAAACAAGACGCATTAATAAGAAACGACCAACTAATTACTAAACAGTATATGATCACTAAGGATTTTTTTCATCGTCTAGATGTAGCAGTTAGAGAATCGATATAAATAAGAAATTATTCATCATTCATATAAGTCTAATTTAAAACTTATTGGTACTGTGAAAGACTAATTCTTTCTTAAACCTAAACCAAGATATGTAAGAATGACCATATAGTATTGACTGGCGGTGCAGTGGATAAATGATCCAACTATTCAGTCTTCCACTAACAAGTCTGCTAGGTCTTGATAAACATAATGAATGGTAACTTAAGGATCCTTTCATGGACCAATACTAAACGCACATTTTTATCGTATAATTGTTAAATAACTAAACTATTCATATTTATGTTCATCTTATCATAAGCTTTATTTTAACATATGAACTGTTATAATACGATTTTCCATTCTTGAATTATTCCCTGTCTATTAGTCACTGCCTCCCTCAGTCACAGCCACATCTGGCTAATTCTCGTACAAATGTTGTTTCATATTTTATTGGTACGTTGTGGTGTGTTTGGTTGGCATATAAACTCGGTATGTTTGAAGTATAATGATTCATATTTGCAGAGGTTCGGATATGGTGTTCTGGATTTAACTGGCTGGGCTAGGCGGAAAGCAGGACCAATCAGGACTCTAAGCTGTGTTTTACGCGTCCTTGGTTCGATCGATAATTCGCTGCTTCCGATTGACGGCTTTAGGCTATAAAAAAGTCAAAGGTTTAAGCATCACTTCCCATAGATTGATGTGGGCTGCCGAGTAGTAATAATTTGCTTCCATATCTGAATTGTAGTTTAAACTTCGGTATCAATTCACTTAATAGGAATTCGATGCCGAAATATTTTTAAATCTGACTAATTTTCAGTGTAATCAGTCCAGATTTATACAAAAACTACGCTGAAATAATTAGCTTCCCAAAAGAAAAAATGCAAACATTACCGGTTTCCTGAAGGCAATATTCCCTTTCAAAATAGTCAACATTCTTGTTACGTCGAAATCGATCAACAACCGTTTTATGAAAGTTAAATGCATGATTTTCAACTTTAGCTGAATTTGAATCATATTCTTTGTTCCACGTTAGATCGTCTTTGATAAAATATTCAGGACTATCTGATGTTTCAGTTAGTAGTGCCTGAAACTGCTGAGTACGAGCAGATAGACTAGTTCCAATCGCCACAAAATCCTAAGTACCAATTAATGGAAGAAAAAATGTCCTATTATAAACCATACATTATATCATTAAGTAATCAGAAGTTCAGTCATAAGTTCAAATTTCAACCGGTATGATAATTACTGTTTAAAAGTACCGAGATAGAACAAATTTCACAGCATGGTCCACATAGCATTTAAACACTAAATATATTATATTACTACCGATAACTTTCTAGAGTAATCATAAAACTCATATTACTAAATCATCAAAAATAAACAAAATGGAATCACCTGATCAGAACAAAAGCTAGTCGACAAGTGTTTATGAGCCAAGGAACGAAGCTCGCAACATTACACACAACACACTGTCACATTGCTCACTGATGTTTGCAAGTTAACAGTGGCTATGAGTCAGGACATTGTTATTTCGAAAAGGACGTACGTCTTATCACAAATCTCCGCTTTCTAACAAACTCCCGTAAAATTTCACATCGAAGAAAACTAAATTCAAAATTTCCACCAATCTTTACCAGTGTCGGTAGTGATATTTTTTTTATAACGTTAAAATCGTAACTTCAGTATTTACATGAATAAAGTAGTAACAACTGTGTCAAATACAAAATTATATAAGTTATACAATGGTAATTTGTATTTGTTGCTTATTATGCGGGTATAAAAAAATACAGAAAATTAGTTCCACATAGTTGTTAATATCTAAACAAACTAAAATACTTATATATCACCTTGCTCAACACAAGACAATAATGTATCCCAGTCGTCATATACTCGGTATCACACTAGGCTATAAATCACACCGTTAACTACTACTAATACGTATCCTAACCCAAAGCGGATTTGATCCCATGACCGAAAATGTCTCTAAGATGTGATTTGCACTAAATAAACCCCATCTGTTGATACTTTTTAACCACAAAGTCATCTTATAGTGACAAGAACCCTGGCAACCCACAGTAAGACATCTTTTAAAGAAAATCCAGCAGGTCTAAAAACTCTTTACAATGATTTGTATAATGTGAAGACATCCTCAAAACTGACAACTATCGAGTTCTAAACGAAAAACATGTGTTGAAGTATATAGTTATTTACAATACACGTCGAATAAAGAAATCTTCCACAGTGCATGCAAATGCGAAATGTCAAACATGTTTAATACGTTTAATGCACAACAGAAACAATTAAATACCACTACCATTTGATTGGGAAAACGTTTCACTAGCCTTTCTTATGAAATTGTTAATACTTAAATGATGTGGTTGACCATTCGTATAGGCTTAAGAGTACTTCATCCCAATCGTAAAGTGCTATTCACCCGTAGCTATAGGAATGCCCATCATTAACGTTGAAATTAAACAGCTATAGTATTTTCTGTGCGTGTTCGTTAACAATAATTTAAGCATAAAAAATAACCTGTGACTAAATAACTATTATTACAAATTAGTTCAAATTCAATAAAGTCACCATGAGTTGCAATGAACTTAGTGAATTAAAGATTTTACATATAATACATATCACATTAAACATCAAGCAGCAAAGTAACTTAGTGTCATGTGGATTTCCTATCACTATTGTAACATATTAAAAGGCATTCTCTGGATTGGAAAACCGCATTACTCCTCATTCAAAAAATCCAAGCCTACAACCTGTACTGTAATTCAAATCGATTATGAGACCTAGACGGTCAAACGATCCCACTGTATCACATTACAATCATTATTTAAAATGAAGAATTTCCTTTTAAAAGCTTAAGGCGATATTTGATAGTGCGCGAACATTTTTGTAGAAATCTTGAAACAGTCGTGTTTATATATATATCAACAAAACTCAAAAGTTATAAAAGGATAGAATGGACTTACAACAAAAGGGTTGCTAAGGTCGGGTACATGAAAAAAGACAATACAACAGATGGAAGTCGACAAAATGAAGGAAAGTGATAAGGTAGCTACCAAATATTTCCAGTGAACAAGATGACGTGACAAACTGAAAAAAGGATACAAAGTATAATAAAAGAAACACAAGTAGAAAATACCAATAAACAGACCATAACACATTGTGAATGTTCACATGAGCATTTTTAGATAAGAATATTATATGTACGTGACCACAAAGACGAATGGGCTGTAATCATACGAAATCTAGGGAACAGAAGACACTAACACATAGTGACTGATACTTGCAGCAAGATTTTTATATGTAGAATACTAAATGCATCAATTGGTGTACAGCTGTATAAACATAAATGACTTACTAACACACAGATTTTTTCATTATCTGAATATGGTATGAGAAATAGAAGAACGATGTTGACGGAATGGAGATTTCTTTTAAGCTGATACACCAAGTGGTTATAAAAGCCCACTCCTTCCAATATATAGAAAGACTAGAGACAGCTTACTTAATATATTTCAATTTCTTTAGGACCTGATGTCGTAGTTGTTCTTGCCATATGGGATAGAAAATCAGTGACACCATGAGAAACATTTTGACGACTAGAGACTGACTACTCATTATCTAAAAACTATCTCCTACTTGTATCGCCTAGAGCTAATAATCACATCGCAGTAAAACCCCTTCTGAGGCATGTAAGGTTATTATTCCTTATTCGTATGGATATTATTTGACGACTATATTTAAAAGTACTACTTTTTTTAGCAATCCCAACACTCGGTGAAACACAAATTTTAGGAAACACATTCGTGAATTAAAATCATAGGCGGGCCTTACCGGCGAAGAGTGGGTAATTTCGAAGAACAGTTACAAGAACCACTCGGACGACCCATTCGTCTAATCTTATAAAAATGTTGAAAAGACTCACAACATATTCCGTGGTTAAAACAAATACCATTAATCATTGAAGTGATTCAAACGGTTGTGGATGGAAAGGAAAAAGTTTGCAATTGATGACCTATCGTATTTGGTAGCAATGTACCACCATTGCCCCTGGATTTTTGAAGCAAACACGAACAACACAAGTATTAGTATCTGCTCCGGTGATCATTAGCTCAGAGGAGAACGGTTTTTGTGGCCTGGTATGAGCGAAGAAGTGAGTACGCTTACGTGTTAGCTGTCATAAATCTATGATGATCAGAAAAAATAAACGTCCCTTAGGCTGTTTCAGTACTCTCCACTTTCGCTTCGGTTGGATCCATTTTCATTTGATAGAATCCTTACCATATTCGAATGAATATTCCTATCTGTTAATGTGTGTGGCCCGTTTTAAATAGTGACTAGGACACTACTACTAAAAAAGTAGCCCTCTCCATTCATCAAAAGATGAGTAGTGAACCTAGGCTACCCTTCCACTATTACTAAGAATGGGCGGCAGTTCGAACCTAGGCTTTTACACTCTCTTAGTTGGTCAATCTGTCAGAACTTGGAACCTGTACGTATGTACATCAGTCCAGGTTGCCATACCTTATTAGAGTAGAGATGAAGCTATCAGGCAAAATCCTAGAACAGCAGATGGAGTAACAGTATCAGTGATAGTAGGAAAAATTGGTCATCGAAGAAAAGAAAAGAAGTGAAATAGATTATGGGGAATTTAGAACCTCGAGATTTGGGAGAAGACTGGAGCGGTGAATACACTTCTGCCAGAGCAAACAATTTTGTGCCATATTACTTAAAGCTTCTTACCAGTGGCCACGATGGTCACGCGGATCCCAACCGAAGAGTTTGTCTCTATTAGCATGGCTAAGTCCAGCTCTCAGCGAATTCATGGACTGATAACATACTTTGATTTGGTCGTTCCTAGCTTTCTTCTAGTCCGCTATTGCATTAGAAAGCATTGCTCATCAAGATAGGTAGTGGTTGAGCATGCATAACACGTGTCCAAGCCATCTCAGTTGACGAAGATTTACTATATCATCCGTCATGTCATCCGTACCTAGTACCATATTCTTAATCCAAACACCACCCACTCGATGGTCCCAAAATACACGAGCAATGCATCAAAGATGCTCATGATCGAACACCAGTAGCCTACGAATATGCTTTGCTTTTTATGGGCATTTTCTCCATCCATAGAGTAAAATGGAGTAAACTGCTATGCAGTAAACTCGCCCTTTAGTCAGTAAACAAAAACCGCGTTTACGCCACAAGTAACACGAGTTGAGAAAAGTTAATTCAGCTTTCAGAATCCGTGCCAAGATTTCGTCAGACAGCTAATGAGACTCCTAAGATAAGTGAGGCGGTCGATGAGACTAACTACTTCACTCTATATCATTAGTTTAGACGATAACGTAGGCCAATCCTTAAATGAGATTTTACATTTGCAGGGAGAAAACCGCATTCCAGACATGCGTACATTGTTGTCCAACATGGTCAGAAGACTGCATATTTCCAGCGGCTTCATCAAACAGAACTACGTCATTTGTGTACTTTAAATTGACAAGTGAGTCTCTTGGTAGAAGACTAATCCATGAAAAAGTCATATGAAGTAAGTTTTACATCTAACTGCATGTCTATGGTGAGGTTGAATAAGAATGAGGAATGTACACAACCCTGATAAACACCGCTTAGAGTGATCATTCCCTAAGACAGTTCACCATAAGCTTTGACTTGATCAGAAGTGTCCAAGTAGGGACTCTGCTCACGGTTCATCAACTTTCAATAGCAGACACTATGATAGAACCTTACAATCAGCAGTGTTGTATGATGCTATAAGGTCAAGGAATACAATGATTGTCGAATGTTAAGAGTATGCTTTTGTTGCAAAATTTACCGAAGAGGGAATATTTGATCCAAACATCCACATCGAGATCTAAATCAAAACTGTTCTTCCCGTGTTTGTTCTTCAACAGCTGTAGTTAAACGTCGCAGTATCATCATGGCTACTATTTTAGACCCTACATTAGTTTAACCGACTCCTCTATGATTTCAACGGGAAAATTCCCACACTTTCTTATAAACTGTAACGATCACTGATCAGGATCTGTCAAGTGACATGACTTCAAGTTCCCAGACACCCTTTGGAAAAACCGTGGTGTTTTCAGAACACCGGAACAAGTACTACGTGTATGACGTATTATTAGGTCGACTATGTGCCTTAGATTGGTTCCTGATTTCTATGGTATCCCTTTATGTCCCACGTCTTGTGTTCTAAAGCTGGTTGGTTGCGATTTCGATCTTCATTATGTCAGAAACAGTAAGAAAATAAAATACCCCGACATCTTGGCTTGTCCGTCTAGGGTCATTAATAGCACACTAGCAGAAGAGTTGGCAGTATTGGTAAGTTAATTCCAGAGATAAATGGTTCCGTACGATTTCAACATCGATCCTGACCACATGAGGTTAAATGGACACGCATAGGTGATGGTGCCCAGACAAGCATCCGTACTAGATTAATTTTGAGCATTCCGTGCTGCGCATCTCTTTAAACAACTAGGCAGCTTAGGTCAGATACTAATCGACGCATCGACAGCTTTCCATGTATGCTCTCATATCCCTTCATTCTTTACCTCTGTTTTGACTGGAGTTAAGATCATCAAACAAAGAAGATGTGGATAACAGCGTTGTCGAAAATTGCACGCCTGCGAAATCATTGAATTTGATGACGTTCTGAGTTCCTAAAAACAATAGTCAAATTTATCCTTGAATGGCTCCAGTCAAGCTGCTTAGAACGATTGTTATGATCACTGATTGTGGCCTGCAGATTCGCTGTGGGAAATAGATCTTTCACTGAACTGTTTTGTTTCGGGGAATGAGTTAGTTACATAGACTGTCATGGATTACAAACTCTGTAATCCTGGATAATTTTGACAGATTAATCACAGACTGTTGATGTGTAGGTCATTTTATCTAACTATTTCACGTATTGGGATCATACATATCAGCTTCCAATGTTACAAGATCCTGCCTGATATTTAGGAAGTAAAGAGCAGTATACAAATGAGTGGCCTATGATACGACTGTTCAGTGGCTGAGTTTATACCATACATTCCTGTTACGCTTAACCTGAGACTCATGAATGATCACTCGAACGTTTAGAAGCCTAACAGTGTCTCTGTCACTCCTGGTCCGCTATTAGGACCCGACGACTGTAAGTTATCATATTTCTCTCATGGAGAAAAGACCAAATTATAAAATTGCGTTGAAAAGGAACTTTAAAACTTCTTGGGCTGTGGCTCTTATTTTCGCCGAGGCTCTAAGGAATCTGTCAAACCTATCAGTCACTAGAGTTATAGAAGCAACTTAAAGCTTTCTTATTCAGTCTTTGCTATTTGATATAAAATCTCAGTTACTGAAGAACACCAATACTCCTGATAATTTTTCAGATACATGAAGCAGCAATTTCAGACAAGTACATATCTTCCTAAAACTAGGACCTCAAAGGTGAGAAGCTGTACTGAATGTTCAGGCTTATGATCGTGAAGATAGATCTCATTAGCAACACATAATTAGGACTGAATAAGTGGTAAAAGTTCGAAAATTTTCATTTCTGAGATGCTGCCTACTCATGTAAAGTCGCAAACTCCACTAACCCTAAACTGCATGATCTTCCCATAGTCGGTTCTTTTCTGACAGTAAACATTGTAGCAAGGAGGTAGGGCGTCAGAACGCAACACTACGGTCCTCATGATGATGCTGAATCTATTGACCGTGTGTACGATTCGTTAGTGTGAGACGCATAACGTACGTAGAAAATTTCTAATTCAAACATCAGAAGTAAAACACAAATAACGATTAAAGGGTTTCTATCCAAACGAGACCACATTGTAAGAGTGAGCGCAACACCAGCTGAATGTTAACTCACAAAGCGTTGATCTTACTTGTTAGCAGAATTTCAAAAGATTTTAGGTCTTCTAGACACTGGAAATTCCAAAGACAATACGCAATGACACTGATAGCTTGGTGTGCCAAGTGGAATTAGACGAAGTAGCAGATTTTTTAAGAGTCAGTTGATCTGACCAATTTACAACAACAGTGTAGCACTAAATAACAATCACGATAATCTCTACTGCCAGTGAGAGGAGGTTCGAAACTGGACTATGCATATCCCTCTATGAGAAGAGATTATTATCATGAGATCCATTTTAGTCAGACTATCATAGTACTTAAAGTTATTTCGTATAAACGGATAATGGCATGGTTGACAACATATTTTATCATCCACTTGTTTTTGCGAATATAAGTCTTCAATCCCGACCCAGAAGTATATCAAAATAGTACAGGCTTAAAACACGACTTCGCCTTTTCATCGAGTGATCAACTATAGAACACAGAATATAAGCAAGTAGTATCCGTCCAGTCAGTAAGCGTTTTCAATCGAAAGTTGAATCTTTAGAGAAATAAATACTGAAAAGACCAAAACTAACTAACTATATTTGTTACTTAAGAGCCTAAGTGGGAAAGTTCTTTACATGGTAAATACAACGACGCGGATACAACTGAAACTTGAATCGGTGTTATAAACATTTACCACAAGCGCCTATTATCAAATTACTACGTGTTTCCGTTGACACGCTTGTTCATTGCTTTACAATGAGTGGTGAGTTTTATGTTTTGGAGCAACGTCGTGTTTTCTCTCATTCATTTAAAAATGGAACATTCCGTCACTTACGGTAATAATTCAGTGTAAGTTTATCTACTACGTGAACCATTTTTATTACTTATCACCCATATGGAACAATCTTAAAGTTACCTGGCAGTAGTTTCCAGAATTGCTGATTTCAAACTACTGTTCGCTCTGAAAATGTGAATTTCACTATCCTAGGGTTCAATAATATTTCAGTTATATAACTGAATAACGAAATTTAGTAATCATAAAAAGTCAGGTAGAAGAGTGAAATTAATGATGGTAGACATTAGCGCAAATAATCAAAAAGCAAAGGTTGATGGACACTCAGTCT